TGCTGGAAAGAAATTGCGTGTGATTAAAAATAATAAATCTGGGATAGTTTGCCTACTTTTCTACTGTATTTACTCATTAATCATCAGGGCCATAATTTTCATGACTGGAAGCGTAGAAAGCCATCCATACCTTATAGATTTCTGTGAGATACGAGTTGCGTATCCATTTTTTTGATTGAATGGATGACCTCTTGATGATTTTATACATATTATGAAAAGCTTGGTAAATCATTGCGTATCTAAATTAACCATCCTTATTCTATACAATATTAATATTAAATAAGAACGTTCGATCTGATTATACCATAAGGCAATAAAATGAAAAATAAACAATCGAATAATAAGTTAAATTTGAAAAATCTTTTGAAACATGACAATTTGATAATACGTTTTAGTTATTTACCGATTATCTACAATAAGTTATAAATTCAATTTAAACTATTTTCGGTATCACATCATCCATTCAATTACTGTAAACAGTGCTGATAAAACCAAATGAACTAAACATAAGATAATGCTACATTACCCGGCATGATTATTCTTTTTATAATTCCAACTGGCTAATAAATAGACAATTAATTCAGTTCAGTAAATATGTATTTTATTTCTTATATGCTAGAGCTGAAGCTTATTCTGTGTTTTCATCCTCATACTTAAAATATGGCTTATTGTAATACTTTTGATACAAATTTTAAAAAAATCATTGAGAAGATTTTATATATACCCATAAGCCTATGTTAACAACATAGATATTTCAATGAACTAAAACTGACTAAAGCATGCTCAGTTTCATTATTTGACTTAGGAAAAATGACTTATTAGGTGTCATTCTTAAAATACCTTGCTATCCTAATTATTTATATCAGTACTAAGAATAAATACTTATTTTCTCTATATAAAAATTCAAGAATTTATAATGTACCTTCTACACAGTCTACCGTTACGACAACGTTCAATTGCATTAAGTTAAAGTCAATTATTTATTGATAGTTAATGAAAATTCGTAATGGTATACATATTTTTTTGGTCAAATCTAACAATTTTGTAGCACGAAATTTCATGGTGGTGTTTATTGGAGTGCAAGTGTATGAACACATCATTGGTGTGAGTGGTGTGATGTTGCCAAAACCCATCAGTACAACAATATTTCCAAATCGCTTGTGTCTATAATTATTTTAATATCACATTTTAACATGGAAGAGTGTTTGGGCTGAATATACAATTGTTTTTCATGATCAAATTTTCGTACTCAATTTTGATTTCGATTGATAATGGGTAGTGTTTCTGGGGTTTCTGGGCTGCATACACAAATTTTTTTTTACCTTTGTCGCGTAAACTTAGAGTGCGCATGGATTGGGTTAGTTAGGACAAGGGTTAGCGACGGGCTAGTTTAGGTTGGGTAGTACGGTTTGGGTTATAATTAGAGCCAGGTTAGTTGAAGGTATGCTTAAAGTTACATTCAGGTTTGGTTAGGGTTACTGTTATGGTTAAGGTTGAGGTAAGTAGTGTTACGGTTGATGTTAGGGACAAGCAAGGTATGGTAAGGCTAGGGTGAGAGTGAGGGTCCTTTTGAGTTACATATTCAATCACGCAATGTTTTACATAAAGGAAAAAATATGCGATTTCAAAACGCTTTTTTGGATGCATGATTTTGTATGTATAACGCAGAGAGGTACAATTAATTATGTAAAAAGGATTAGCACAGTTCTTAACATGTCTAGTAGTAAAATAAATATTCCTTATTCTTAGACCTCCTTTTTACTAATTTTGTCTATGATTCGTCTAGTGAACAAAACAACGACTTCACTATCTAACGAAGCTTTTTAGTTTTGCTCTAGCCCAGTTCCCATTCGATGAACGCGAGATTGACTAAATTGAAATAAAATTCGTGTTTGTCATGCTTTCACATGCCAGGATCATCTATCGTTTAATTATTTATCCGGAAAATTCGACCATTTTAAAAACGAACGGTTAATCGCTTCCTTAAAAAGTTAGTAACGATAACGCTCAGTCTCTGTTTCCTAGGACATTTGCATAGTTTCCATTGTCTGGTCGGATAAGATTGAAAGTCTTTAAACCCCCTTGAACGTCATTATAATGATAATTTCTTTGCATAAACCCAACCATACGTAATTAATGAATTGTTTGCATTATACGCTAAATAATTTATATTAAAAAACAATATAACTAAACCATTAAAATAAATTAAAAGAAAGATTCTTGCAGTGTAAATTTTGTAATTTTTTCACATAGTTAATTCTTTTAATAATTACTAAAAGATTTGGCTGAGAAAATGTTCCTTCCTAGAAAGGTACTTAAAAATTACCAAACCAAAACCAATATGGATATATTTATGCTTCAAATTTATCTTATTACAAGGAACATTTAGTTCCATAATATCGGTTGAAAACTGAGCGAAACCAATGAACCGTTGCATCCTATTTTGCTGCAACGCTTGCGTAACTCGCTGCACTGATTCGTTTTCATTAGAACGCGCACTTGGCCGGTCTGCGCTGTGAAAATCGCCAGCCTCACCATGAAAATCGCATAACCATTTCCTAGACGATTAAAACCTCCGGAAGAATTCAATTCTACTACTAAATAAACGTAAACAATATAAAAAAGGGGTCTTTGTAAAAGAAAATATCTCTTGAGTCAATTGTATGATGTTAAAAAATGTATCGTAAGTATGAGTGAATTTGTGAAAACAAAAATACACATTTAGTAATTGAAATTAAAGTTTGTAGTCTACAATCCTAAATTCATCGACCGCGATTCTTTTAAATGTTATAGTTATGTAAATACCATCAAACAGTAGTTAAGCTTTTCTTAGATCTGTTAGCTCTCTTATTAAATGAAATAAGAGCCCTTGAATCAATAAGAGTATAATATAAAAACAAGTATGGACAAATACAAAATCATAGATATTATTTTTAAGAACTTAACATAAAGAAAGCTTAGGAAGAAAATTTAACATAGAAAAATATCCATATATGCTTAATGGTCATAACTGGCCATATTAATTCCAATTAATTTTTTTCAACCAAAAACCATAGATTAAAAAAATAATGATTAATAGAAAACTATGTAGGAATGATAAAATTGATAAGGAAAAATCTGCTCTACTCTAATAAAAAAACCGAAGTGAAAGTGTTTATATTGTTTCAGGGACTAGAAAAATGTTTAGAAAATTTGACATTCACGTTTCCAAAAATTTCCTTCGACTTCTTAATGTTTTGTTTATTAAAAATACTGTAATAAATATTAATTGCGCTCATTTACGCGTGGTAACAAACGTTGAACAATTCTTATGAGGATGAGGACTTGAAGCTTGCAACAATTCGAAACTTTGAAATTGTACGTGTTTTTTGACACTTGCTATTTACAATTCCCCATTGTCGGTCAAGTAGAAACAATTATTCTCTGTTAAAAACTAAAATAAAAAATGACGACCTCACGTATAAAAGTCAGTAACTACTAACTCAACTTAATCCACTTCTATCAGACCCACTGGGATTAGGCGACGACACTTTTGTAACATATGCATCGATTAGTCGATACTAACACCTACGAGGAAAAGGCTGCTGGAGTTGAAATTTCCACTATCTCCAGGTTCACTCTTATATGGAGTTTTTCCAGCGAAATATGTTTTTGTGGACTAGGAATTTTTGTTGACACAAAAAACGCTATCATCAGAGGATCCTAAAATTATTAATTCAAGAACGACCTTGGAAACCTTTTTCAGATTCATCACTAACTACTACATGGGCCGAAAGTTTTCAGTAAAATACGGTAACCAACGCCCCAGCTCCATATGTTTTCTGGTGTCCTACAAGGATGCGTGCCAGGCCCAGTTCTTTACCTTGTCTATGTAGCCGACTTCCCCACGATAACGTCACAATATTCCAATGTGCAGACGACTTAACAGCACTTTTGACTTTTAAAAAAATATGTATATATTATATGTTTAGAAATGATAATTTAACACATACAATGCCAATGCGATTAATAATTTAGTGCAACGGTTTTCCTATATCATGGAGAGTGATGATTCTGACAGCTTAATTATTAATTAAACATAATTATTAGAGTAAATAACGTAGAGAAATGTTGCTAACAGGGGCAATTAAGATCGTAAACCGACTGAAGTGAATAGTAATTAATAATGATATTATTCTCTCGTGTAAAATATAATAGTACTATAAATATAAATATAACGTGGTTAAGGCCAAAAGCTAAAAAATATCGAGATTTACAGATTTTACGATGCTTATAACGGGGAAAGTAGAAAATAATAATTTTGTTCTTTTCACACTTATAAAAATTTGGTACCCATCACGTAACAAACTACAGACGAATCGATCAAAGAAAGCTGTTTTCTAATAACTACTAAAGCAAAAATTTGATAGTCTTGTTAAATGTACAAAACAAACGCCATGGAATGTGAGAGAATATTTTGAAATTATGTTTTATTCGTTCTGAAAATGAGCTATTTAAAATTTTTAAATATATTATCCTCTTTAATTTCAGGATTTTACAATATTTTATTGATGTTAAAAAAGTTGAATTCATAGAAAGTCCTTCCATACAGATTTATTCCGTGTGTGTGCTTAGATAAAGTAAAATCTTAATATAATTTTAATTTTTTTGTATTTTTGAGTTGATTAGCTTTCTTTGTATACATTTGAAATGTCATTAGATAAAGGGTGATTATGATTCTTAAATACAAGTGGATCATGATTTCGTCTCAATTTGCAAATTTCTGCAAAAATTGTATTGTCTGCCAGTTTGACCTTCAAACACCTAGTACATAGCTTTAAGTTAGCTTTCGCACATAGTTTTTGCAAATGTTTAAAAAATCCACAGGAACGATGTCCGTGGAGACGCGCTATACCTGTCATAACGGGCTATCGCCTTTTCACTGATCATGTCAACATCCGAACCTGAAAGTTAACAACACTTGCTCTAACTTCACAACACTGATTCGCGTTAGGACGTACCAGGAGTGTCGTAGACTGCATTTCGGAAGTTGACAGCGACTGTCGTTGTTCAGCGGGGCATAGAGATGGGCAATGGTCCGGAGCGGGGTCTACTGGGCCTTTATACCCCCGGGAGTTCTTAATACCCCCCGACACGAACCCCGTTACGAATGACTAGAGGTGCCCCGCAAAAACGGCCCTGCCCCAGGCGAAAGTATGATCTGCCCGGACAACGCGGACGGTGCAATAAAAAGTAAGTGCTGCGCTTTTTATGCCAATGGTTTGACTATTTCATTGATATTTTATTTTCCTGGTAGAAACGTGTACTTTAGATATTTCCTGCTAAATTTAGTACTCTTAAGGTAAGAAAAAGAAAGTACACGTTTCTACCAATGCGAAAAGTTCAAAGTTGTTTGCTTCTTTTTGGTTCCTTCTTTGTTTTCCATCCGTTGTGCATCCAGGGATTAGGTGCGAAAGGGTGGCAGGAAGGGTTTTAATATTTCGTATTATTTATTGTCAACCTATTTCGACCTNCCTCCCTCCCTTCCCACCCCTCTCTCTCTTCCTCTATCTCTCTATCTCTCTATCTCTATATAATATATCTACCTATCTATCCATCTATCTATACATTTCTCTCTCTCACTCTCACTCTTACTAAACTATCTCTGTCTATCTATCTATCTCTATCTCATTTTCGTATTTCCCTTTCTCATCTTTCCTCGCTCTTCTCTCTATCTCTTCGTTTTTGCTATTAGAAATCACTGTACCAATACGTTCTTCTCATGTTGTCGGGATAAACATAGAGACTCATAACGTCTGATTTCAACATAATATATCTTCTGCCATATCATAATATATCTTCAGAGTATATTTTTCTTATTCAAAATTGTTCCATATTTCTCGTTCACTCTCTGGTCAATTGCACTCCCAAAACGGTCGTTCGGTGCCTTTTGTAATTAAATCCATTTCGAGCTTTCTGAATGTTTTCCGTACAAACACACAGTCGAAATATGACTTTTATATTCAGAATAGACTCATCATATCCGAATTCTTCAAATATATTCTGCAGTCATCTCAGCATAGTCGGTAAAACGCTCAAAACAATCTGTTACCAACAAATTCTGTCTATACCCTGTTATCGGTCAAAACACACATGAGTGTATAGTTCAGAATGATTCATAATGACTTTCTTCCACATTATACCCTTAATGCAGCAGCGTTCATATTTTAAAATTGGGCCGTGTCGAAATTGTACCGCTTTTATATAAGTATTAATTGTTATCATATTGTCAAGGAAATTGTTGATGTAATATGTGAGTTGAGGTAATATGACAACAGATAGCAAAGTGTCTTGCACCCCCAATGTGCCACGCTGTTGTACGTAGAAATAGGCCGACATAGAATGTTCACACACATACACGTCATGAAAGACAAGAACTGATGGCATGATACAAAATCATCTCACGACTACCTAACAGACGTTCCAACTTAACACAGTCCATCTACACTACTTTGCAACTTCGTACTTACTTCATAAACCAATTATGTCTAGAATTCTAGGGTTCGGCCAAACATCCAAACAGCCTCCTTGTTCTAACTAAAAAAAATCGAAAAATTCTCGACTTTTCATTTTATTTATCAAATGAAATTACTTACAAAACTGTTCCCTTTGTTCAAGAATTAACTCGAACCCTTTACTGTAAATTTTATAAAAATCTTCATATTAATACAATCCCATTAATGGAAAAACACTCTACAAAGCTGTTCATTTCATGCATTCCTGCCCACAGACTGAAGGGACGATGGCCTAGAGATCGTCTACCCAGTGACAATGACCGCGAGAGCTGTTGGATAAAATAAATTCTTTTGAATTAAGTCATTAGTTTTTACGTATGTAACAAACGTATGTCGGCCAGTGGACAGAATTTCCACTCTATGGATCTTAACATAATTAGTTGTTATCCCCATGTAGAGTACTGTATGCTTTGATTACACATAAAAAATTATTTTCAATCCTGTTGTCCCGCTTGTGTCTTGGTTGTTATGTAATCTACCCATTCTTGTGTATATTTTCGCCTATTCGCTGTTTGGTGTAAGTAGATCTGAATTTTATTTTCTGCATCTTTAGTGACTTTTTCAACATAACCTGTGACCTATAATCAGGCGACAAATTTTATCGTTCATATTTTAAAATTGGTTCATGTCGAAATTGTACTGCTTTTGTATAAGTATTAATTGTTATCATATTGTCAAGGAAATAGTTGATGTAATATGTGAGTTAAATAAGGTTTTTTATTATATCTATTTTATCTATTGGTTTAACCCACGATTTGACAATATCAACAAGGACACTTACGTGACACATCAACCACACATCCGGCATGTACATTGCATACAGGAATGGTTACATAAATTTTAATGCTTCAGTAGCATAACATCGAACCACTGAATAGTCTAGATGTTTATCGCGGACAAAAGTCGTGAACTAATCTAAAGAAATCATAATCGATTTTTCACCAACATGTATTTACATCAGCAAAGTAGTCTACGGTCGTCAATAATGCACCTCTTGGACACCATATTAGCCAACGCAGGGACGAAAATGTATTTGTACACTAACGCAAATCCAAATTCTTACTTCCAAACATGCGCTAAAAATTTTAATTTATCGAAAAACTGTTAAAAAGCAAGGAAATAATAAACTCCGTTTAATTTTATTGCCCCGTAAATGTAACGATTTCGACTAGTAGCCAGCTGCGTTGACATTTCATTAGCCATAAACATTGTCTTCCGTGGAAAATTTCTATGTAGCAGGAAACTAAAAAAAAAAAAAAAATGGAAATTGTAAATAAAACGGATAAATTGTCAATATCCTCCTGTTTCCTGATACCATATTTGTGTTATATGCATTTTATAAATGTTTAATCAAGTTTTACTATTTGCCTTTAGTTTTTATTCACACATCTTTTTTTATTTCTCTTATCGCTCCAGGGAAATTGATCTCGTTACTTCTTACAAGGTGCGGTTTTGTAAGTAAGCCAGAACTGTTCTTATCTGCTTTAGTCATTTCTCTTTTCAACACCTAATTGTCGCCTGTTCGCGTTGTGTGGGTTCCTGCGCAGAGTTGAAGTAACATCTTATGGTCGAATCAAAAATTAATATTAAACAGAAAATGTTTGAAAGATCGATAGGTCAAGGTTGATACCAAAGCCTGTCAGCATGTTTTCTGTCACGGGTAGTACGAAGAGAGTTCAAAAGTCGGAAATCGCAGGCGGTGCTGAAAGTGAAACCTCTTACTCTCGGCCAAAAGTATATGTAACAGCACCACTAAATGTATATAATTTCGTATTCTGAACGCGATCGGTGGGCCTACTTTAGAAATTCAATTGTGGGTCTTCCCGACCGCAGGACCGCAGAGGATTCTAATTGTTTCGGCTAGGACGTAATTCGTCTTTACTGATCTCTACTGATCAAACCCCAGCGGCGATCTGCGTGTCCGTAGGCCTAGGTCGTCGAAATATTTTTGCATTTTGCCGGAGGATGACGGTTTTATCATTTCACACCGAGAGCCCATTCGAAATGAAAATATGAAGATACCTTTTGCAAAATTGACAACAGTATTTTTCTATTTTTTCTTTAAAATATATTTACGCGGGATGTACGGAGCATCAACCGCAGTGATACGCTTCCAATTAGCTGAACCAACACATTTCGTTGCAATATCCTGATAAGTTCGATTTGATCCGGTGGTGGATCTGGTTAAGGAGCTGTTAAAGGAGCGTTCAGTTCTGGTTTCCGCTCAGTTAAACTCTATTGAGCAATAGATCCTCTCTATTTATTGTGCAAACTTGCTATTTTTTTCTCATTTCGACTTTAATCCGTTTCAAAACCTGACCGCATCGCTCCCGTTGGCGCATTTTGAAGTATCCATCATTTGACGACCATCGACTTGACGAAATGTTGCGTTTGGAAAATGTGTATCAACATTTCTTCCGTGTAACTCAATTCCGACTGAAATAATACATTGCAGCGTGAGTTCTGCCTTTATTCCACCGTAGGCCTTGCCAATTAATAGTTTGTAATTTCTACAAGTAAAACGGTGCACCACACAGATAGTACACACTTTATTATATTTCGTATGCTTGGCTGTCATCCTGATCCGTTGGTTGATACATGCAGGATATATAAGTCAGTGAATATAAAATGTAAAAAGAGAATGAATGAATGAATATTCATTTATTGGTCACGCTAGATTTGGTCACAGGACCACTTTTAGATCTAACGAGAAGGGATTATGTGTGACACGGAAATAGTGAGGTAGACTGTTGGAGTTTAAAACAGAGATAGAGGAAAGTGAAAAAAAAGTGAAACGTTATTTATTGTTGAACAAATTTAAAAACTGGCATAGTTCCTCCTCATCATGAAAAACTAAATCGTGAAAATGCTAAAATAAACCTGATCTAACTTTCCATAATATAAACATAAAAATCCCTAACCGTAAACCTATATATATCTATCCTTAACATTATCTCTAACGGAATTCTAACCAAACTCGTTTTTCACCCTAAGGAAAACCTAACATCATCTTCCGTAAGGACCTTAAGCAAAACCCCGCTCCTAATCTTTAGCCTAACCTAAGCATAAACAATTTCAATCTTAAGCAAAACCCGCTCCTAACCTAACTTATTTTTCACCCTAAAGTAAACCTAATCTAACCTCACCAACCCTAACCTAAACCGCCCCTAACCCTAATCTGGCCCTAGCTCTATCTAACCCATTCATAACCGCAACCCAGGCCTAACCTAACTAGTGATTCAGCCAAAGTTAAACATAACTTAACCTTACGTAACCCTATACTATCGGGGCGTCGTTGACGCAACGGTTTAGGCGTTGACCCAGCTCTCAGTAGTGTAAGGTAAAGAGCTCGGGTTCGAATGCAGAGGCCCTGTATTCGAACCCCACATACTTACAAATACATACTTACTTTAAATTTAAACACTGACACCTCAATTGATATAACCTCGTATTTAAAACACCCTCGTAACAAAAAGGAAAAAAACCTACTCTCTACATAAAAACCTCCAACATTAAACCAAACCCTACTTACCTAAGCCGTCTCAAACCTTAACCTTAACTCGTTGTTGCCATTATTAACCCTACCCTAAACTAACCT